GGGACTAAAATCCACCATAACAGCGCAACAAAGAGAGTGCGATAAATGCGAACAAAAAGTAGGGCAGATAATGAAGTTGATCGAAGAGGTCATCGTAGAAGTCGTCGGCGAAGTGTGGGTAATTGAGTTGGCCAATTGATTTGTGACACCGATGGCATCAGCGACGACCACGAGATCGCACATGCAAAGGCATGCAGCTGTGAACACAATTGCTGCCTTGACGAGGTGGTGGTGGCGGGAGGCATGAGTGATTGGGTGGGTGGATGGATAAATGGATGAGTGTGCAATGCTTGCATGTGATAGGGTGGAGGAGAGGATGAAAAGTGCCTTTATTGAAAGCGATGTGCAAGGCTTGCCTGGTTTAGTTGCAATTTCTTAGGATAAATTAACGCCAAGAGAAGAGAGGAGGGAAAGCGTAAGTCGTCGCTTCTACAGCCAATCGCCATAGAACATTAGCAAGTGGCAAGCCATAAATTGTCGAATTCATGAAGAACTGCTATTTGAGAAGGCAAGCTTCGTTGCTTTGAAATCAAAAATATAAAGTAATTATGGCAGGAGAGGCATGTGATATCATAATAGGAAATGCAATTTTAAGGTAAGACGCAACAAAATGCTGTTGGACACAATACAAATAGCAACGATTTCTTGACCTTTTGCCATTTGACGATTCTTAATTCCCATATCCATAATTTAGACTAATCCAGTTTGTTCTTACAAACTTTTGTGTTTCATCAAATAATTGTCGTGCAAAAAAAGGGGTGAAATTAAATAAGAAGGCTAGCTGCACAGAATACCCTTACGTACGACTTGGTTGGTCCCTTCTTCGCTATGAAACATTTGTCCTAGACCAGTGTTCCAACGTCTAGTATTGCAAACAATTGGTGGTCATTAGGTTCGGGCTGTCAGACCGAACGTAACTCCAGATCAATGTGAGGCTTCTGGGAGGGTCAAGTGCAATCAAAGCTGTCTCCGAATATGTTGTGATGGCTGGGGCTGGAGGTGTATTAAATGGATGCTCCGATGACGTCGCTCAAAAAACGACCCGAATAATGTAATTCTTTGTTCATGTGACCCTTGGTGCCTGGCTGTTACTTTAGGGTGCGTTTTACTCTTGTACAAGTCGCATGGACTTTGGGTCAAGCCAAAATCCAAACCCTTTTTACTCTCCTAACAAATATGATTTAGCTCGAGTTAATGCGCTTTTCCTAGTAAATAGGCTTTGGTCACTACGATTGCGGTCTATGCATGGGACGCGCTCACCCATTCGCAGGGTGATGGAGTATGTGTCTAATTACTATTGCAGCAGCATTTGTAGTGCGTTATTTTTGTAGCCTCCTGTATGTCGTGTGGTAAATTTAATGTTCACCTTGCCTCTATGCATGTGGACAGGCCTTCCAGCTATGCCAAACACCAATTCCTTTAAGTTCCAATAGATTAGATGTATTTAATTCCATCTAAATGCCTAATCCCATTCGGTGCCTGGTTTCGAAACTCTGCATCTCCCTTTTCGAGGAAATCTTTAGCTGCTACACAATAATATTTGTACAAGAAATAACAAACATAATGTATATGCTATGTAGAAGCATATAAAATCAAAAGCATAACTAAAGAAAAAAACTTGGTCACCTGCGGCGTCAAATAAAGAAAAACTCTTTTGGGCTGCAAAAAAATTTCCAACTTAGTGCTAGAACACAAATTTGTACACAATTCTATCTGGTTGCTGCATACCGTCATGTGTAATGTACTCTAATTTTGTTGCATAATTCATTTTATCCGTATAAAAATTTTGCATTCAATATCAGAGCAACTAATTATATTATAATTGCAATATTTATCATTTCAAAATGATTTGTTAATGATGCTGATCAAAAGAGGCGCAGCTTTTGAGAGTGTGGGTTCTTGGTGTCTTGCTTTACGTCTCGTATTTGAGAAGCAGGAATGTTTGGTCAGACTAAACGTATGTTCGTCCTTATTCCTTGCTATCTTAAAATATAGCTGTCTTTGGCACTCCTACTACTACGGGCTTTGGATTTGGTGGTACCCAATTCGGTACATCCGCTCCTACGAACCAACCGTCTGCTAGCATTTTCGGACAACCATCAACTTCTACTCAGCAGACTAGCATGTTTGGAAGCTCTGTTTTTGGGAGTGTCACTACACCCATTCAAGGGACCCCAGTGAAATTTAATGCCCCCTTAGTTAACGATACAGTTCAGAAAAATGGTCAAAAAGTTCAAGTAAACGCGAAGCATATATGCATCTCGGCAATGAAAGAATATAGCGACAAAAGTATTGAGGTAGAAAGCTTTTTTTCTAGCATTTTAATATTTAGGAGCTTCGAGTGGATGACTACCTTCAAAATCGGAAATGTGGTTCTGCTGTTGGGACCAAAAGTATCTTTGGTCCTGCGGCCACTACACCCTTTAGTTTTGGTGCTCCACAGACTACGGCTTCGTCCCTATTTGGATCGGCTTCGACTGCACAATCCGCTCAGTCTTCCATTTTTGGTGCTACCTGTAACACCGGTTCATCACTATTCGGCTCAACGCAGCCCATGACCTCTTTTGGACAGGCGACACAAAATAGCATCTTTGGTAGTAAGCCGTTGTTCGGTACCCCGACTTCCACAAATGCTCCACTAAATCTATCTGGAGCGCAGCAATCTCAGACGGGGTTTGGATTTGGACAAAACACTCAAAGTAATCTACGTTATTGTTCTATCGTTTTTCCTAAAGGTTCAATTTTTGGAGCGCATCAGACTTTTGGAACACCTACTACTACTTCTACATCATTTAGCTTATTTGGATCTCAACCCGTTTCCACTCAATCTGGAGGTTTTACTTTTGGAAAACCCGGTGGTGCCGGTATATTCGGTACAGCAACGACGACAACCTCGGGTTTATTTGGACCCTCTACGCCCTTCGGTGCACCGGTTGTAAGTATTCTGTTAATCTCCACTCTCTTGGTTTTTGCGTTGTTACACTTTCTTTATCTCCAGGCATCGCAAGGCGGAAATATCTTTGGTGGTATGAAGCCGGCTGGAACTTCAATTTTCGGTTCGCCAGCCACCGCTACCACCGCTTCGGCCTTTGGGAGTGGATTTGGTTCTGGATTCGGGTCAAAAACAACCTCTACCGGTCTCTTTGGTGCCGCCCCTGGTAGACTTAAAGGACTATTTGTGGTTTATTTCAACAATCATATCACAGTTTTTCCCTTGAGATCCATATAAGTGAACTCTTTTAAATCACTTCGTAGTGCATTGATCACTATGTTGACTTGTGTTCTGAGGCAAGTGCTTTTGATAATTGGATGGTGCTGCAGTTGAAAACATTGTATTGAATAATACATTGTCATTTACACTTCAAAAAATACACTTAAATTTAATTCGTTGGTTATTGCTGAATCAAACTGTTTTCTCGAAAACGCTTCCTTTTACTTTTTAGCAATTTGTTTGAAAAATTGTTCATCTTAAAAGTTTCAAAGATCCACTCCATTGCGTTATTTCTTAGCGGTCAGTAATACTGGCTTCGGTCTTGGCACAGTGACTTCTTCAACGATGCAGTCTGGGCTTGGCACGGGTCTCTTCGGCGCGAAAAAGCCCTCACCCTTTGGTGCACCTACCAATACCACTGCTCCAACCTTTGGTTTCGGTACTTCAGGTAGCGCAACCGCCCAGGGTACAAACCTTTTTGGAAACACAGCTGGCTTTGGTCTTGGCGCCACCTCTCAGTCTCTCCAGCCAACGGGCGGCATCTTTGGTGCTACAAACACTGCACCTACGGGCAGTCTTTTTAGCAAGTCGGCAGTCAACAGCTTTGGTCTTGGCCAACCGAATACCTCAACTCCTTCTCTCTTTGGCTCAACATCAAGTGCCTCTGCTGGAACAGTGGTCGGGAACCTCTTTGGTGGAGGCTCGGGCATCACTCCACAGCTCGGTTTCGGAGGTGCAACTGGAAGTGCGGCGCCGTCCTTTGGCACTGTAGTAGCCACTAATCAAACTGTCTTAGCACCACTTATGGAGCAACTGACTCAGAGTGCAAGAGCACAGCAGCATGTCCTCGACATGGTGCGAAGCATGCCCTATGGGCAATCAGCATTGTTTAGGCATCTCACTGCAGAGCCTGTATCTACGACGACAGTAGCACCAACATCAGTTCCAACGCATCCTACGAGTTCAACAGCTAAAGCCTCCGGTGCATCCGTGCTCTCAGCTTCAGCGGCTGCTAACACCCTAGTAGAACTCCATAGAGCGAATTCCCTTTCCGTTGGCAGAAGTCCCGGCCGTGCTGGTAACGGGTTGATTGTTCGAAGGCCCATGCAAACAATGCCACTCAATCGAAGACAGGTTTGTATTTTGGTGCTATTTTTTCTCCCCTCTTAACTCACCTTTCATTTATTATTTCTTCTATTTAGCTTTTTACAGGTTTCCGAGAGGACGATGCGCTTTTGTCGGCCCAATCACCGACTCCGGGTGATCGTAAAAGCAGCTCTACTGAGCGCCCTCCAAATCAATCCGCCTGTACCCCAGACAGTCACTTCTTTGTCCGTCGTGAATCCTGGAAACGCCTCAATATTCCACGCTGTGTTCGAACATCTATAATCGAGCGTTCATCTATGGCCGCCTCCGATTTCGAGCAACAGACTGATGAGACTGAGGCCGAAACCCGCGGAATTCGTCTCCAAAGAACATTGCAGTTGAGCAAAGGATCAGGCGATGCCAATATTTCTCCCACGTCAACTTCTAAGGTCCATTCCTTGGATTTGTCAGCGCCTACGCCATTATCTTCATGGGACAAAAATATCAATGGGGTGAAGTTAACTCTCCTTATTCATTTGGATTAGTTAGAGTTTGATTTTAAAATATTGAGCCATTATACGTTATATTAGGAGGTCGAGGAGAAACAACTGTCGTTTACAGCGCCATCAAGCCCACAGGTCTCTGTTGATGTCGGTGGGGGTTGTGAACAGCAGGATACGGGAAATTGGACGTTACCTCCTGATGTGACCCTCAACCAGACTACCTTGATTGCGCCATGCGAAGAGGCATACACGGAAGAAAGTGACTCCCACACTACTTCCACTGCCAATAAAGCTGGTATACGACTCTCCAAACCGGGCTACTACATGTTCCCCACTTTTGAAGAGTTGGACGCTTTGATTGACGAAAATGGACGCTGTGTAGTCCAGGACTTCGTCATTGGTAGGCAGGTAATGGTGGACCTGCTTTCAGTTTTATACATTCCAGTCTTCTTACCCTGATTCTAACTACATTGCCTTATAGTCTTATGGTCACATACTCTTCCCTGGTCTGACGGATATTACAGGCATAGATTTTGATGATGTGGTTCACATTCGTCGTCGTGAGGTTGTTGTTTATCCGGACGACACTACTAAGCCTCCCCAGGGCTATGGTCTCAACCGAAAGGCTGAAATTACATTGGATGGGGTCTGGCCCACTGACAAATCCACCCGCGAGTTCATCAAATCACCCGAGCGCCTTGCTGCGATTCGATTTGACGAACGCCTTGAAAAGGCTACGCACAAAATGGATGCTTCGTACGTTCATATTCTCACTTAATTTGGCTATTAATAGGTTTATTGAGTACCGACCAGATACAGGATCATGGGTATTTGAGGTGAAGCACTTTTCCAAGTATCGTCTGGAGGACTCGGATGACGAGGAAGAACAAGTTTCACACCTATCAAATGCCGCGTATAGGAGGCAAGCTGCAGTGGAAGTTGCTGACACACTATTGGTGAGATCATTGCATTATTTGGCGTCATACACGCTTACATTTGCTCATTGTTGTCATTGGTTATTTTCTAACACATACTTGGTTTTTCAGTGAGAAATAGGTACTAATTTTAGCGAATAAATGAATTCTTTTGTCCATTTTGCAATCTTGTCAGTAATACCGTTGAAGCCGTATATGTTGCGATGCTTCTTGAATTATGACTCGTAACGAACTCCATCGCCTCACTTTTCCATTTTACACTGTAGTCAGATCCAGCTGTTGGTGCTGTCCACTCCCTCGATCCATTGGCGCCTGCCAAGGATCTAGAAGATAGAAATCTCTCGTCCGATGAAAAGTCGGTTTCGGAGATGCAGATTTCTTCATTACAGACGCCACAAACCCTCAGAGGAGCTAGAACCTCCCTCTTCTTTACTAATGGGTTCGGTGATGATGAGCTTGATTTTCAAATGGAGGCTGATGATTCTGACTTCCCTCTTATGCACCGTCGTGCTAGTTATCCGACCAATCCCCTCCAATCTTCTCACTTCGAGAGTAGGTGCACCCTTTGGTGTCTGTTTATTGACGCTTCCAATCTGAAAATCGCCTTTATAGTTTAAACGCTTCTTTTGTTTGTCTTTCAAGGTCTATAAACTTCTATCCTTAAAATAATTGGAAAATTCAGTGCAATTTTTTCATGGTGGTGATCAATCATGGTGTAGTAGGTTAGTGTATTTTTTACGCCTAGTTGATAAAGTATCACACCTTTTGTTCGACTATAAAGTGGTTTCTTACAGAGGTTTGGAGGTCTTTAGGAGCTCAAAACTGCATTATGTGGCAGCAGGACGTTTTCGAGGCCTTCACCACGGTCTTTCTGTAGTTTAGAGGTTTTTCAATGCGGGGCACTTGCATTTGGCTCACATTATTTTGGTCTTTGCTTTGTTCTCAGTCTATTTCACTCGAGTCTTGTCAGTATGGCAGTCAAAATGGTCTCTTTTTTGCCACTGCGGAAAGTCGAAATATACCATATTTCCTATGACGTAGAACTTGATGCATACAATCGTGCCAAGCGTTATTATTATCTCATTGCGTTTCTTCTACACGTTTCTGCATTTCTTAAGGTCAATAATAATATCAATTTACGGAAAAACCTATCACTTTCATCCTCTGACCTAGAAACAGACGGAGAAGATCAATATTTACCGAAACTGGAAACACTGAAATCGATTCCTGCTCCGATCTGTGATCCCTTGTCAACTTTAAGGATGGAGCATTCGCCCTACTCTATTCCCTATGAGCGTGTTACGAAATTGGTTGGTGGTGAGTGTTATTGCCTTCAATGTTTTATCTGTCATCACGTCTGACGCCTAATCTTAATTGGGATTGTTCATCAACAGTTTAATTTACTGTTCTCCTTCAGTTAAACCGTTCTGTGGCCTATGCAATTTTAAATTTTGTGAATTTTTGCTGAATTCCAGTATTACACCCCGGTGGTATGTAAGATGACAGCTTGGTTTTGTTGATCCATTTTAAGGAGATCCTCCGCTACTAACTTGCTTGCAAGGGTGTTATTTGGATGCTGGTCTCTGTAAAGGCAATGTTTCTCGACTCTCTTGGGCTCTGTCGAGAAGGAAGGGGAAACCACCGAAACTTGTCCTCCTCACTGCTGATTCCAATACTGACCCTGCAGCCTCGGTGGTCGCCTCTTCCGTCTTCTCCGTCATAGATCCCCATGAAGAAGTAAGTTCTCATCTTTGGCCTTTCCTCATCACCCTCGGAGACGCTAACCGATTAATATGCTTTCCATAAATGCGACTTTGTTCACTCAGTCCGTTGAGTAGTCCGTGTAACTGTTCTCGGAGTGTCGATAGCGCTTGTGTGATGTTGACTATTCAAGAAAATCGTTAATATGTCTAGGTGCTTCTCAACACTGCTCTGCAAACGTCGGTGCAGACGTCTTTTGAGGCAGATTCTGCAAGTTGTCCTCAATTCTACCCAGAGAAAGGACCGCGCGTGCTTGATGCCTATCTGGCGTGCGTAGACGGAGCAGCAACAGATGACGGGCTGTCAGTACGTATGCGAGCCCTGCGACGTCCCTTCCTTCTCTCTCAATCCCTTTGGGCCCGCCATGATACCTCCGTCCACACCAGTGGCAGTGGTGATGCCAACGACACGCTGGGACTGCACGATCGGTTTGTGACACGACGACGAATCCTTAATCTGACAGGAGTTGATAGTCGCCTCTTCTCTGCCTCCAGCGCCACTGCTACTGCTATGAATGACCTCGCTAGGCGTCAAGCTGTTTCTGAGTGGATTAGGTACAGTTTGGTCCATCTTTTTACTGTATTGTGGGCTTTATTTTGTATATTTCTCATCCATGTTAACAAACCTTAGTGACTACAGTGATTTCACGCTTACCGATCGTATTCACGATATCAGCTTACTTCCTGTGCTTTTAGATTCGAGCTACGTTCATGGCTTGATTCTCGACTGAAGGAACTAGGTTTGACTAACTTATTAAAAGTCGATGGCTCATTGCAGAGCCCGTGGAACCTAGACGGGAATGTCTCCAAGTCGTCGATATTTGCAGGGATTTTCGCCTGCCTCTGCTGTGGAGAGCCGTCATTGGCGTGTCGACTTGCGCTTACTTGTCGAATGTCTCACCTTGCAAGCTGTCTCTCCATGGCCCCTATCAGTGACCCTCTTTGTAAACGAGCTTTGCAGAAACAATTACGTGTGTGGGATGAACTCAAGGTGAAACGGGTGTTGATACGATTTCGTAACTCTCTTCATTATCTCTTAATGTATTTCTTTCCATTTCCGCAGGTATTATCATTCATGCCCCTCCAAATTCTCCGCACATATGCCCTCCTGGCTGGTGAAATCAAGCTATCCATCTCGAGTCCAAAGGGCAGGACGGTTTTAAATGTACTAAGCGGCGTGCCCTATATTCAGGCCCTGGGTGTTCACTTCTGGTACCTTGTGGATCACTCAACTGATTTCTTAACGGTTCTCAAGCTCTTCTCTCGCAACTGGCACGCCTACGACTCTCTCGAGGTAGCTCCTCCTCGTCCTCCCGAAACTAAAGATCTAATGATTGGTTGTACGGGCCACGATGACACCGAATATGTTCCCACTCCAGGTTATTGTTTATGTTAACTTTTTATGATTACATTTGGTTGAAGATTATCGCCATTTTTTCTGATGCAACCACAACTGGTTCTCTTTAAAAGCCAAACTGTCACGCTCAAGTCCTCGCGATGTCTGCTATCATCTTCTGCGCCTGGCGTCGCGTTCATGGCATAGTCTTGAGCGCACTCTTGATCCACAGTGCATGCAGTGTGACCAGGGGCGGCGAGTCAGTGGCAAAGAGGTCACGAGTAACAACAACTGGCCATCTTCTTGGCACCTCTGGCGCGTGCTCCTGTCCCTTGGACTCTTTTCACTCAACCCCATAGCTACTTCTCGTCTGCACGTAGAGATGGCCAGCCACTTAGAGACTGCCGGCCTCTGGGAATGGGCTGTCTTCGCGCTGATGCATGAGGTCGAACCGCGAGTTCGCGCTGCTTCTGTGAAACGGCTTCTCGCGCGTCATATCACGCTTAAATGTCCACTCCAAACGGTGGCTGAGCCCCAGTGGCGTCTCGACGCGGAATCTGTTAGTCGATTCAGCCAGGCCGAGGTCTTCGTTTTGGAACGACTTGGAGTGCCAGTTAAGTGGCTTCACGAAGCCAAGGTATAAGTTTTACGAATGGGGGTTTTCATTTCAAGATTTGCCAATCTCCTTATGTTTTTTAGTCACTTTAAATCGTACAACATTACCTCTATTTGTGCGTCTTACATGCATTCTCATATCTGACGCTTTCAGGCCTGCTTAGCTCGGTCTCTGTTGGTCACACAGTCGGAGTCTGCTAATGTGGAAGCACATAGATTACTAGCTAGCTTGGAGGCTGCGCATTGGCTGGCGGCAGGTCACTTGGAGGCCGCTCACGATGCATATGTGAAGTACCTTCTTCCAGATATATTTCTTCATTCCACTGCCATCTCGTTTCCTTCGCCTCCAACTGATGCGAAAATCTTCTCTAGGAACTCAGCTGTGCTAGCCTCTAAACTGTTGACAGCTTTACAACCTTTTATTGCCATCCCTCAAGAAAGTCTTCCTACCACATTTGATTCAGGTAAGTTGTGTTGTGTCATTTTCAAAATCCAAAATTTGTTCTACCTTTCGTCTATTCTCCTAGGTGCTGGTGTGTACTTATCGTATGCTCGTATTCTGCACCTAGTAGGTCAGCTTACTCTCTCTAACAGAGTTGAAGGTGAGGGATTTGAGGAAGATGTTAATATGGAACTCAGTTCCACTGCACCTACTAGTAGAAGCTCGGGGACCCTATCGGATCTTCAGTCAAAAATACACCAACTTGTTGGTTTACTACAGTCTATGGATGCATCATCTATCCGAAATAGGTATTTTCATTCATCTCTTTGCTTCGATGGTCGCTTACGATTGCTTCCACTTTAGAGTTGTCAAAAGTGAGATGGCGATGACAATTGTTCGGCTGATTTCTGTTTTTCTGCATGACTGTCCTCCGCCACAAACTTCTGTTCTCCGTCCCAGTCAGACTGTTAGTGGATCGGCTGATTTTCCAACAGAGCAGGAGAGTCTGCTACTTTGCCAGCAGCTGAATTTGATTTCAAACATCGAATCGCCCTCGGAAACGAGGTTGGGTGAACTACAGACTCTTACCGCCTCAGGCATAGCCAAATGCGTCCTATAAATGGCTCTGTGCATATACATGGGAGCGTCCCAATTATGTTATCTTTAAAACCACTTAATGCCTTAAGATAATACGGTTGTTTTGTAAGAAATTGCAAGTTGTAGCTCTAATTGGTTCGTGTAAACCTTGTACTTCCTGGGCCACTCACGCTGCACTAAGGCGGCTATTACCTAGTCGCTTGCGATACAGCCTTCCATTGTCTCTATCCAAGGGGCGACCTATTTTTAGCGATAATGTAAGGCTGCCCTATCATATAATTTCTATAGCAGCATAACTTGATCACCTAACCTCTTAGCGTCTGCGGTCTTCAGAGACTCCAATCCCTAAGCTAGCCTCCTTACGCCGTCCCCGCTAACGGTTCGAAATTTCTTTTGTAGATTAATAATAAACTTTTGGGAATATTAACGCGTCATCTCCAGTGCATTACATCCAGGTAGGGGTGGGACTTTCACCGTTCAAACGAGCCCTTAGAATCGCAACTTCTGATTAGTTCTCAGGAGTTACGAAGGATTGCATAAGGGAGAACGAGACCAGTGTGGATCCATGATCGCTTGCGCAAACGTCAGGTCGTTAATTCGGTTCTTTCTAAGCTAAGTGGAGTAAGGTAGGTGTTGTTACGTTCGGAGATCTCCCGCTAGGTAAAAAAAGCATGAAATTGGGTTGAACGTATGTATCCTGGACGGATAACGGAGGACTGCGAGTTGGCCTGGTTCGAGGGCCGGCTCACGCGCGCAAGTGCAAGGCGAGTAAAAAAGTAACTGCGAGATGTCAGGTGGTCACAAGTAAGGTATTGCAGGTATGGAAATATTTAGCAATTTCGCATTTTCTAACAAAGCATAAGTTTGGCATGCATCCTTGTTCAGCCTTCAATTAAGCTTAGTAAATCTCCGATAACTGTAAAAGTAGTAGTTCGAGGTAGCAGCTGCAACACCTTGTTTACGTGGCTATCTGTTGTCTGGCAGTTACTTTAAGATTCGTCTGACCCTTCAACGCGTGGCTCAGTCTTTGGACCAAGCTTAGGCTCAATCCTGTTGATCTCCCCAGAGAATATGTTCAGCACCACTTAATTCGCACGCTACAATGGCAATTTATTTTGCCCAAACCACGTTGTAATACTGTTTATGTGACCACATGACGTTAGGCGGTCACCAGCATCTTGTCCTGTCGTCTTCAGAATGCGTGTATCCAACTGCACTTACTGACTTCTCATATCGGCTAGGAAGTCTGGGGACGCTACATTGGTAGCAACGGAGAGCAAACCCGATATTTTTTTAACGACCTTTAGGTATAAAGTGATTCTGAAGACCTTCTGCTCTATCCGATGTGAGGTCTCTATCTGAGGCTTTTTTTTCGTTGGTCGTTTGTTAAAAGCGCCATAGTGTCCAGAACATCTATGGCCCAACAGACACTGCTGTCTTAGTGACATCCTACATTTATGCTGCCAAAATTTGCCAATTAATCAGTTGGTGCAATGGTTCAGTACCAAAAAGCGCACAGAATCTGAAGATGCATATCACTTGTTCTTGGTGTTGATGTTCTGGGTTTGAGTATCTATGATCCTGATAATCTCTTGGATCCCAAAATCGGATTCCTTTAGCCGGAAAGTCGAAGCCTCTTTTTTTCACGACAAGAAGGTTATAATCCAACCAGCGGATGAGACTGCAAAGTATTTCTACTTTTTATTTGAGAAATCCAGGACTAATAAACGCATTTCGGCGTTGTGCATTAGCAATCATGAGCAATACATGCGTAAAAGGAAGTCGGACTCTATCGAAGTGCAATAGATGAAGATGCAGGCGAAAAGGGACGTTAATTGAAGGAGGTGCATTTATCGTGGTTACGGAGTCTCTGAATCCTTCACAGCGAAAGGATTTAGATTGACGTGTGCATTTGGTCTCACCTTATTCCCGTGTTTCACAGACAAGCTATTAACAACTGAAGCAACATCGCTGTGAACTATCTTAAGCTTTGTGTTGGAATTTCCCATAAAAAATCCGTGTATTGGTGTCGGAAATAATGCTACAGTTCTCCTTATACGTAGGATAGTGGATCGTCCCGTTTTCCCTGTAACAATATATGTTCTAGACCAGAGTTCCACCGTCTATTCCTGGAAGCAATTGATGATCAACAGGTGTATGCGGCCTCGAATCTGGTTGTCAGACCAAAAGTAACACCAAATCCAGGTACAATTCCTTAGTCTGATGCTATCTATCGACTGGTGTGGATGGCTCGTGGGTGGTTTTTTGTAGTATCGAATATGTCGTGATGGCTGGCGCGGGAGGTTTACCAAGGGAAGCACCGAGGACGTCGGTCAAAAGAAGAGAGGGGCAGTGTAATGTTTTTTTAAGTGACAATATGACGTTTGGCAGTCATTTTAGGATTTGCCTGGTTCTTGTCCACGTGGACTGGACTTCGGGCCATGTCTGGGTTCATTTGTCGTGCCGTCTTTAGAATACATGTATTCAACCTTACCTATGTCTCTTATCATTATAGCCAAGGATTGAAGGAAAATTACAGGAAGACCTTTGTTTGACAGCAATTGCAGAAAGAAGATTAATTTAATTATAATTAAAGGTTCAAGTATCTGGCAGGATTTTGCGCTTCTACATTTTGGACACGTTTTAGTGTATATGAGATTACGTATGTGTTCGTTTTTCGATAGGCCTTTGCATATTAAATTTATACAAAGGCCATATGTTAACATAACTAGAATTTTTTACATGTGAATATTAAATATTTTTAAGAATGGCTTACCAAACTTCACACCGTCCAGTGCTATGTCCTGATATGTCGCCTACTTATAACGTTTGTCTGTTCGGCCGCCAACTTCGATTATGTGCGTAGAAGCTATGTCAGACATGTGGTTTGTCCTTAAGACTTGCTAAGAAAGCTGAGGAAGAAGAGGGTATCCCTATTTTAAAAGAGGTACCGTAATTTTATTACTTAGTGATCGACTTTAAGAGTCTTAAGTGGATGCATTTGTTACGGATGGGGATTTTTTTCCAATTGCAAGCTGGTTGAGAATGTTGTTTCTTTGCGGTATCCACACGTCCTCACGCTATGCAACACTTGCTGCGAACCACATGGAGAAGTATGCTTTGGGTTCCCTATTTTATTCGCATAAAGGTATTGGTGTATCATAATTGCTTGTAACCATGTCCCAACGGGATTATGGTAGAGCTGGTTTCTGCTCTCACTCATCTCTTGTACCGATGATGATCATTGACATTGTCTTTTCTCAAGTTTTCCCGAATCTGGTGAGACTTTACATCCAACAGAACTTTTATGGTTTGTCAGTGATGCTGCTATCAACTCTTTTGTAGATTGCGTTGAGATCTGACAAGTAACGCGGTTGAGTTGTGAGTGTTTTATCTCAGCACCGATTACATTATTCAGTGAAGTATCGAGGACGTGATTCTTATGTTCGGCTGTCAGTCTTATTCGCTGGACTTGTGGCCATATTGTTGATCTCGTTCTTGTTAAATATACACATGTGTTTTGTTCAAACACTACGGCTTTTTCTTCTTCGACGAGATCAAGGAACAATATACTACTAATTCCATCAAATTAGGATTTTGAGAATAATAATAAAATGTCGTTTTTATGCGGTGCATGTTCTTTTTTCCCTTATTGTTTTGCGCCTCGATTCATTTATTCATTTGAATTTTTGGGTATGATCATTCCCAGCTACTCGTACTTTAATGCTTTCGCAGATGAGAAGTCCGGTTTTGGTTTCTCTTATCAAAGCTCTGAAGTTTTTCGCACGTTCCGTCTCAACTGCCCCTATTCCAAAGGACGAATACAAATTGCGTCGGTCCAAACTTGCCGAGAAAATTGCTTGCAGCTGTTTGTCAGGTCTGGAGTCAACGTTGCGCCACCTAGTAATTATTCCTGCGGCTGAAACCCAGTACAGTTCTCTTCACGTTCCATACCCATTTCGTCAGGATTCCTACTTTCGATACCTCACTGGAATTACTGAACCTGACGCAGTCCTTGCTCTGGAGATCACAACGAAGTCAAGTGAAATTGTACGGTTCACCCCTCGCCTATTCGTCGAAGAGCGGAACTCCCACGATACCCGTTGGGACGGTCCAACCATAGGTGTTGATGATGCAGCTCTCACTACAGGCATTGAATGTACAATCCCGCTGAAGTTCTTTCCCGAATATCTCCAAATGGCGAAATCCGATCTTTCTGGTGCTGGTTGCTTTTTCTGGTTTAGCACTCCTTTTATTGTAAGGTCGAAGGCGAAAGTACCGGTAAACCGCACTACGTATTCCGTCATTTCGGATAAGTTTATGGGAAGTCTGTTAATCCAGTCGAACCTACGAAATCCCAATCCCCTTATCGATGAACTGAGATTGATAAAATCCCATGCTGAATTGCTTTTGATGAAGCGGGCGGTGGAATCGACGTCCGTAGCTTTAAAAAAAACCCTGGCTTCAGCCTATCCGGGCATAAGGGAAGCTGAACTTGCTGCGAGGTTCAAATTCGAGTCCGCATTGATGGGTAGTGGTCTTGGTTATCCACCTGTCGTTGCTGGTGGGAATCGAGCTAACATAATTCACTATTTGAGAAATTCTGAATCCATTGAAGATGGTCAGCTGGTCCTGATGGACGTTGGATGTGATGTCGAAGGCTATACGGCAGATATCTCTAGAGCCTGGCCCGTAAACGGTAACTCAAAATTTCCATTGTGGACATTCTTTAAATAGGGCATTTTTCCCAGCACCAGCGTTTACTGCACGATATCTTAATCCAAGTGCAAACTGACTGCCAAAGGGCGGTCCAACCGGGAACGAATCTCCAAAACCTCTACGATTTAATGGTCAAGCAATTAGCCCAGTACCTTAGCGAAGAGAAAGTAATCAATGTTAGTGATAGTGAGTTAACGTCGGTAATTTCACTTTGCTTTGCTTAATGTATAAAATTTAGGTAGGCGCTTACATTTGCCCACATCATGTTGGTCATTATCTTGGCCTCGACGTCCACGATACGGTCAGCGTTTCGTACTACAAAAATTTTGAGCCTGGAATGGTTTTCCCCTTAGAACCAGGCATCTACTTCCCGGCAGGCGGCGGAAAGGTTGCCGTAGCCGAGGAATTCCGTGGCATGGGATTGCGGCTTGAGGATGATTACTTTTTTACTGCTGACGGGCGGGCCGAAAAACTTAGTGACTGTATGCCTTTCGAAGCCCTCGACCTTGAATCCATCATTTGTTCTCATACTTGATAAGGAAGCGCTCTGTGAATAGGACCTTTAGATTCTCAATGGGCTTAAGCTACCGATTTGTATAGGAATGTCTACGATCTCATTTAATGTTCATTAAAATACTCACCACTCCTTTAGGAGGTTTGTATTAGTGGCATTTTGCGTCTAGTGCCTCTGTTCCAACCACCGCAATCGTGAATGGTCTATGCTCTGCACAGCATATCGTAATGATGGCCTTAAGTATTAGTCAAAAATATCTCGGTAGAAAGTTAAGTCTTCCTCGAAGTCAGAACAAAACTGAGTACCTGAGTAAGTCGCGCTGTTCTGTTTTCGATCCCTCCTGGTAGCGAGACCAGATTGGTTGTTATTGCAATAACTGGATATAACTGCAAATCCTCTACTTGAGCTAATGAGAAGTCGCAGTGCTTTAAAGACTGCCACCCTTGTACTTAGCTTAGCAGAAGTCATTAATTCAGGTACTGGTAATCGTTAATTTCAAGTTCCACCGCATTTATGGTCATAGATGATCAAAATAGGTTGTACAGACTAGATGTCAAGCTGGCTAGCATCGGAACATACCGTCTAGGATATCCTGCTCAAAGTTGGCATTAAAAGTTCCTGGACTCGGTATAAATAGCTGGTCCATAAGAAACATCATGCGACAGTCGCTCTTTGAGTCAACATACTGCCCGACGAGAACTTGGTAGCGTTCTAGTCGACAGACTTCGTACTTTCGTGAAAACGTATAAAGATGGCGTTTGACTCCGCCTGTAGGAATTCTCGCGTCAGTAAACCACAGTTCCCTTTGCAGTGCTTCTGAAACGGGGACGTAGTGGAATCCGTTTTCCTCCGAAATGCATCTAGGTTCCCCCAGATAGGGCATATGAAGGCACTCCTTCTCATCTTTGGGGCACACCTTCAAGTGCGGTCCTCTCCATTCCTCACATAGCCTGTTGGAGAGCACTGTCTGTCCGATCACCATAACCGCCTCGATTGTCGGTGGATTTGTGCTGTTTCGACGGATGCGGTATAGGCAACGGTCGCTCCGTGGACGCCGACCGATGCGCCTTGTGTGAACAATGAATTCAGACTCCCATGTCTGCGGGAAGCAACACGGTCTGTGGGTGGGTTTATACCAAGTATAGAGACTATGCAGACCCGGAAACAGTGACAGCAATCGATTTTGCTTCCCAATGCTCTCTGGGTGGAAATCCGACACGTTTAGCTTGCAAAGAGTGCCCCATTCACTGGATCCAACGGTTACAATTTTTCCACTAATATCTATCGTCCAAATAAGAACACAAATTGTAATAGAAAAGTACTCGTTTGTTCGCTGCATAACTGTTTGTGGGCGATGTGGTGTCGGCTTCGTGTAAACTTTTACGTTATCTTATTATTGGTCATGAGGTTAAGCCAATCCAAACAGAGCGCCTATCAAGGTAAGTGAACGCCTATTCGATTCTGATGTACTTGGACGCGCTGTCGATTATCTATTCCATTCAGCAGCAATTACCGATCTCCCAGACTAATGTAGCGTAGCTTTCGCTTACAGTAATGATCTGTCTGGTGATATTTCACTATTTCAGAGGATATATTCTGGACCGATCCTCAAAGGTGGTCGAACGAAAGCCATGACTTTATAAGTTATCATCGTTGAACCTATTCCATACACAACTACGTTATCTCCTTACTAACCTGAAGAACAATACTGCAAGTTTCATCTTTTCAGTAACACTAATATGAATAGTCGAAGACGAAGTAAAAATATATGTATATATTTACAGTGCTAGGATAAGAAGTCCCAGTCAGTACATGCGGCAAAGGTCACACAATTGTCATAGAAGGAACAGGTGGCAAGGAAAGCCTCAAAGCATTGTTGCTCGTCTGATCGGGCATTGATGCACCAGTCCACCCCGTAGGCCAATTTGGCGGAAGATCGGTAGAAGGTAGGTTTGGCAAGCGGGCCGTCAGATGCAGGATTAGTGAGGCCTGCAGGCACACGCACAACTGCGAAGCCAGCGTGCATGCAGGCCATCAGAAGTCTCCTCGCGCATGGCGACCACTTATGGCGCCACACGCCGCCTCCCTCACTGTGACATACAACAATTCCGTTGCCGCCACCACCGCCATCGCTTCGAATGTCCCATATCCTCAGCTTTTCATCAAAGCTGGAATTAGATTTCTGCACTACTATACATAAACGTCAAATCATGTGGCGACCACTGTAGATCATGACATACAACCATTTTCAAAGGAAAGTAGGGGGAGTAACTCATTTAGAGTCGTACTACCATAGTTGTTTTAGTAAAACGAGCGAAATAATCGTTCATGTGGAATCAGGGAACACCCGAACTAGAAGGTGACGTGATTCGTTTTTAGTACAATTGCAGAGCATCGACTAAAACCTCAGTAACAATAGTCACTCATTCCAACAGTTCTTTAAGTTAGAGGAATGATCTTACCAACCAGTAGAGATTAAGTGACGGTAGGTTGGAACATTTGAAACACTGCAGACACCCATCTCGTGTCTAAACGCGACGTCAAGATTAAGTATGCCTTCATGTAAATAAACCTACCTTCTACTAAATACGCATTTGGTGAACCCAATGCGTTGATCCCAAACATAGCACATGCAATCATCACCGCCTGACAGCACCAAATTATCTTCAGCCTTAGAAAATCTTACACACCAGGATTCAAACTCATGGGCTTTGCAAGTATTGATTACAAGTCCTTTCGGAGAGTCAATAAGATACATGTTCCCAGTTTCATCTGCAGTAACAGTTCTTAACACATTTCAAAATATGTCAAGTTGTGCATACCTTGTGCTATGAAAGTCAACTGAAAGAAGCACCTTCGGAGAAACAGAGGCTATGTCCTGGATTTTGAGAGACTGTGAGAGTGGAGAGGAAATAGCATAAAGTTCTCCGGAACTTGTTGCGGCAAGACACAAGTCAGAGCGCATCCAACACAAATCAAGAACACCAGGAACCACGATCTCATGGGTTTTTTTCACATGATTCCGCCCTATATCAAACTTGACAAGTTGGCCGCTGCGTTTACCAGTTACCTGAAGCGATTAAGTCAATCTTTTATTAGAAATGACGGATAAAATATTGCACAGTGATAAAATTGACCGTAAAAGGATTATGAGAGCGTGCCTGATTTGATTTCTAGCAAATAGAGCCCGAACAATGCAACCCATTGAAAACAAGCCAGAAAATTATGTTAACGATCTAACCGATCGCATTAAGCGTTTTATATGCCACGAATATCCGAAAACAGGCTGACCTCATCAAGTTCGTAGGACCCAACCAACACCTGTTTTCCACAGGGCGAGAACTCGATGGAGTCTGTGTGAAATCGAAAAGTATATGATGCCACCTCAATAAAAGCCGTGGCCATCCCCTCTTAATAGCTACCGCCACGACACCTCACTGCATCTCCACATGGAACAACGACCTTCAAGCCATCCATCCATAGGCATGCAATGCAAAACTAATGTTAGTTAAATTCATGATTCACTTCTTTTACGAATCAGTAGTCCTCATGATATTCCAAGCACACATTTAAAACCATATAATGGATGGGCAGTATAGCTTCTTATCTGTTAATATTCATCACATTTGGTAATTGCTTCATTTCAGCATTTACATTAATCAATCGAAAAATACCAACATTGTGTAAATAGTCTTAGCAAAAGATTTCTATTCAAAGTCCATCTTGCCCTCACGCAATGCAATCACATGCGATGTTCGCCCTTATTTAGCTAAGAACGCAAAGTTTTTATTAGCTGCTATAATCGAAAGGATTTGTTTGTCTGCCTAAAATATGTCAAAATTTCCAAAACAAATAGCATAAGTTAACCATGTATGCTCAGAATTGATGTTGCTTTCAAATGTCACTTTCCTGGTAAGATGAGCATGTGAATTGCCGAGAACTGTACCCTCATTAACAAGGGGACCAGTCACCTCATTGTGTAAACCATGACACTTGTTACCAAAATCATGAAGCGTCATTCACTTTGCATACATCTATTTCAAAGTGTAGAGGAGAAATCGAGATATAAATTATGAGAGCAGTGTTAATTATTTAAACAGCACTTTTTTCCGCCAGATAAAAGTAAGTCCTTTGCGTTTTCCACGTCGCAGCGACGGTTGGGTTTCAAATGATGTGTGTTCTGAAATACTTGAAATAGTGTCCAAAATTAGCAAATCAAGTGGATTTCTGCAGCTACATGCTGGTTTTGTTTCTTGCTTTGTGCATGCGGAAGGTACGCACGTACTCTTCTTTTCTGTCTGCCAACTCATGAAGACGGTATCACTGTTGATACGATTTACTTTCTCTTTTTGCTTCATATGGACATTGTTGTGAGTCTGCTGAAGGTATTCATTGCTGAGCATAGCAATCGAGTGTACAGAATCTAATTCTTTACCGTCCATCAGTACAAGCGGCTGCACATCCGCCTCGTGGATGTTTGCTCCTTTTCTCCGCTCTCTTCCCCTTCCTGATGGGTTATTGAAAATGACGCCTGGAGATGGCATATTTTTCTTGAGTCCTAACATCACACTCTTCCCGTGAGGGGTGAGATGCTTGGGGCAATGATTATCAAAATTCACTACTGAATTCGAGTAGTAATATTTCCGTCGGGAAATCTTTGGGGCAGCGCTCCAGAGCACTTTAATATCGCTCTCTGCAGAGTCTGGATTTTGCACACTTTTCTTCGCAGTAGATAAATGGTCAAACTCAAATGAATAATATGCTAAACTCTTTGGATGTTCCATTTTTTCATTGATATATCGGGCGTGTGGGTGATCGTGAGGAGGAAATGAATTTGACGCATTAGATCTTACGCATCCTGTTAATCCATCCCATGCATCAGTAGGAATATGGGCTGCTCTTTTGGTAGGCCTCATCTTTGATTTTCTCTTTGGCTTTTCCTGTGTGCGGTAAAGTAGCCTATAGCCATCAACAATTCCTGGCATTTCCTGCAGTGGAATTACACGAACCGATTCGGGAAACATCATTTTAGGCTCATTTCGAACTGTGCTTTCTTCCTTTTTAAACGTGTTTTGGAACATTACCAAAGATTCACGAGCGGCTAATGATTTCAAAACGTGTAAAGTGTCGATTATCTCATCAACATGATTTGCCATAATTTGAGTTATATGAATATCTGGTTTTGGGTGTATGTTAACAAGAGAAGGTGGTGGGACCTTTGAATTCGTTTGAAGTTCCTTATTCCATGGATCAGCAATTTCCAGGGCTTCTCCGATTGTCAAAACGTTTTGGCAAACCCTACTGAAATTTCTTGCGACTTCAAGTGCAGTCGGTAGTATTGCTTGCTTTTTTACCTTGACTGCTTCCAGGCGTTCGGTTTTCAAAAGAACTCTCTCCAAAATCTCGACGTTTTCGCTCGGTTGATGCGCTACAGTTACCGCATAACTGCTCGATACACTAGTATATCGTGTTATTTGGAGATGTTTCAAATGTGTTTTGTTGGAAACGCATTTTGTTCCTTTGTTATTTAACGATGTTTGAATATCGTCGACAGCAGATGAGGTGAGGTCACGAAAGGTGTGATAGTTCACGCCGAAACGTTTCCCACTATCGTTTGAAGTCTCTTCCACGTCACCAAAACCGTCGCTGTCCCGAGATGTGTAATTGAATGAATATTTGGGGTCTCCTTCAGATTTCTCACTCTTTATTGAAACAAAACATCTCAATTCGGCTGAAGGAGGCGAGAACACTGTGCGTTGATAATGCTTTTTTGATGGTAGTTCAGTTATTCCATCTCTGACCGTATCGCCGCCCTCCAAAATTCCTGATAGTTCACTAGAACTGGAAAAAAATTGGTTTTCAGTGGCGCACCCTTGATAGACTTTGCCATCGAAGGAGTACGCAGGACATTTGGAACTTTTGCTTACCACATTGTTAAAAGGTTGTTGTACTCTCAAACACTCACGTGGCACGAATGTGCCCGTAAAATAAGTCCGGACTACATCACCTAAATTCTGTGATTCTGTCACTATGACATGACTTTCACACAAATCGTGTAAAAGTTCAGCGCAAGCCTCATCTGGATGCTTTTCGGTGTTGGGGATTGAATAGACCAATGGATGCCATCCCTGAGCTTCGGAAATGCAGTTGTTTTCATAGCTTATAATACGTTCGGAGGTTTGGGTTGGATTTTCGTAAACTTTTAAGGCATCTGTAGCACGCGACTTTGAATCAAAGTTCAGAATCCGAATGCTTTCTATCGGCGATTCCGGTAGAAACGCTACAGGATTAGTACTTACTTCAACACTTTTACAAAAAGGCTCCCTTAGATGATCTTTCGTCCTACCCATTGATTCACCTTTTCCACACGAGGGGGAGCTAACCTTTAATTCGCCATGTTGTGGCTCAGTGGTTTGAGGAATTTGCGGGAATTTATCGCATTTCTGGGACAGTACCTCGGCGGGGTTTGCAAAGCACGTGAGGATTTCGTCCGTAAATTGAGCCTTTTGTTGGGTGAAGTGAACTTCATCTAATGTGTCACTTCTAAAGTTATTTTTTAATTCTTTTGGGTGTAAGTGTGAGCGGAGCCACTGTTCATTTCCATTCAAAATTGAATTCGGATTGTTTATTTTCTTCGCGTTCAGTGGATCCTCCATTAAAACATTTTTAAAGCAAGTCACTTCCTCCAAATTTCGTTTTTGAACGTCATCAATCAAACAAGCGAAATATCCCTTCCTTTTGTAGCCACCTTCAGTTGTACGCGTTAAGATCGGATTCGGCACGTGGTTCTCACATGCATTCATCAATAAGTCAGCGATCTTTTCAAAAGGATTTACGGTCTCTTTGCTCAACTCTTCCAAAGTTCTCGCCTGGTCCGACGAATTAACCATGACAAATGGTTGTCCTTCAGCAAAGTTTCCATGTCGTTTTTGAGGATCGTTTGTTTTCATGCCATCATGATAACATCCCATCATGCTCTTTTCTCGAGTTCCCATTTTTGCAACAGGCAGACTCGCCTTTTTGACAGCAAGATGTTCACCCACAATAATCCTCTGTCTCTTAATTTTATCATTTTTTTGCTTTAAAATGGAGCGACTTACGTCAACGTCTAAAATTGGACTCAATTTCCCACTTTTATCTCCTTCATTAGTACTTCTATGATCAGTTTCTTTTGGCGAATACAGCTCCACCTCTACTTCAATAGATCCTCCTCCCATTATCTTCATAGGCATTACAGGACTGAAAGCAGATGTATCTTGCAGCCTCCCTGTTGGTGTGCCAAATATTTCTTTTATCCGCTCTAGATCAGTTCGTACATTTCCTATATATGCTGCCTTGTGAGTCTTTTTAACCCACTCCTTTGATAACTTGTAAGAACTCGTGAAGTTCTTGAAGTGTATTGGAAACTTGGTTCTTTTGTAGAGCTCTCTAAAGTTTTGTGTCCCAATGCAGGTGTTATCTGGCGGCTGCATGAGATGAGGAGCTGGGCCGTTGGGAAGTGCACAGTCCTCAATCTCAGTGACTTCGCTGCTTACGTTGCCGAAGATGGACGAAGGCGAGGAAGGGGAAGTGGTAAAAGAGGAAGAATAATTCACATCTGCGTCACAGCTGCAAATATAAAGGCTTTCTTCCTCTGTCATATCTGTCTAACATGTGATTCTGGAATTCGAGATTATGGTAATGGCTAATCTAAGCTTTGACAATCAGGAATGCAAAATGAATTTTCTAAAGTAGAATTGATAAGACTAGAATGCGATCAATTGTTTCGAGTTTTTGTACGAATAGCAAAGTATTCGTTTTGTTATAAATCCATGTTCAACAGATTAAATTCAAGGTATCATAAATTCATAAAGTGTGGTTCTCAGTGTGCTGGATATAGCCGAGTTTGACAATGGTAAAAAAGATACCAATAAATAAAAGTTTATTTGAATTTGGTCTGCTGTTCGGAACTACCTTGCGCATGAAACATCTAAAATTGGCGCCCTTAAGCAGGTCCATCGATTTGTTGTTGAAACCATCTGATATCGACTCCAGCATTTAAACTTCGCTGTGGATGCATTTGAACTTCAGAATCGGTTTTTGTAAATACTAAATTGTTTTTTCCAGATGATTTACTTATAATTACTAAGTAGTAAAAGCGATATTGCTCTAACAGGACCCACGCACTCCATCACGCCTCGTCTGATCGGCTTTCTCCTTCACCGTTGCCGTTTTGGTCGATAGGCGCATCAAATTAAATTCACAGCATAATATCTTTTCGTGATCTCAATTTTATTGTCAAATTTACTTGCGCGACCTCATGACCTTATAAGTTAGTGAAAAAGACCATTTGGCAAGTGCTCATGCTGCGACCTGGTGTGGGTCTGCAGTCTCAGTGGAAAATTTAGTGAAATAGTTTTCCACAA